TAAAAAAGCAACCAAAAAAAGAAAAAAAAAAAGAAAATAAGAAAAAGGAAAAAAAGTCTGCATCTCTCTATGTTGTCAGTTTTAGGCTGTAAATTCCAACTATCAATAAAAGCTCAAAATTCACGTGCCAGTGCTGGGTTCTTCGTCCTGCAGGACGTGCTGAGGATCCCAAGGGGCTTTGGGATGGGCAGGGCCGGCAGAGGGGCTGGATCCCTGATGGAATCACACAATCCTGAGGCTGGAAAAGCCCCCCCAAATCCAGGCTGTGCCCGATGCTCACCTTGTCCCCAGCCCAGAGCCCTCAGTGCCACCTCCAGGAATTCCTTGGACACTCCAGGGATGGGGATCCAACCCTCCCCGGGCACTTCCAATCCCTGCCCACCCTTTCCATGGGGAAATTCCCCAAAACCCACCCTGACCTCCCCTGGCCCAGCCTGAGGCCGTTCCCTCTCCTCCTGTCCCTGTTCCCACATCCCAAATCCCCCCGGCCGTCCCCTCCTGTCACGTTGGAACGGTGGCAGCAGGCGCGGGTGGCACAGAGCGGAGCCAGCACAGGACAAAGGTCCCTGTGCCAGCAGCCCCCAGGAGCTCAGCTGGTGGCACAGGGACAGCGAGAGCCCGTCCTGGCTCTGGCCCGAGGCTCTGCCGTGTTCCCGGTGCTCGGCGAGGCAAAAGGAGCATCTTTCATATTAATTTTTTTATTAAATTCCGTTAGTTTTCTCTTTATAGAATAACTTTTCCTCTAGGCACAAATACAATACAAGGACTCTGCATGTTTGACACAATGTACAGAAACTTCAATAATCTACAACTGCTCAGGTAAGTTACAAAACCTCCGTGTTACACCTGCACAGCCAGGATGGTACAGAGGAACGGGGCGACTGTACAAAGAGCTCTGCACTGAAATAAAACGCTGGACTTTAAAAACAAGACGGGTGGAGGGGCTGGCAGAGCTGGGGGAGTCAGTCCTGACTGGGGGGCGCTGGGGGGTCCCAGGGCTGCAGTGACCCCACGGTGCCCTCTGGGCTCCCCCCACGCTGAACCCCCCAGTTCACACCAGTGCGGGGCCGGGGGGGGCTGCAGGAGCCGGTTCGGTACCGAGAGCCCCCGGAACTGAGGGGCAACAGCAGCGGGGGGGACAGCGGGGATGGGACAGGGACAGCGAGGATGGGACAGGGACAGCGAGGATGGGACAGGGACAGGAGCTGCTCCTCTGCCCCCCCGGGCTGGGCACAGGCGGAGCACAGAGGGGGCAGCTGGGGGAGGGAGCTGGAGAGCCCTGAGGGGCCGGGGTGTGACCTGTGCAAAGGAGCAGAGCGCGGGGGCAGCTGCAGGGCCGCTGGCCCAGCCCTGGCCCAGCCCCGTGTGGCCGCAGCCAGAGTGGACCCTCATCCCGGGGCTGCTCTGGTCCCCACCCCCGGGAGGCTGCAGCGTTTGGCACCTCCCGCAGGGAATGTGTCCCCCGGGACAGCCAGCCTGGAGGTAGAGACTGTCCCAGCAGGGCGGGGACCCCCATGGCCACAGCCCGGGGAGCCTCCTGCCCGCCGGGAGCAGAGTGGCCACGGCCACGTCCCCCCCGGGGACACGGAGCCAGCGCCGGCAGCATCCCAGGATTCCCGTTCCTGTGCACAGCTCGGAGCGGCTCCAGGGTGGGACACGGGATGGTCCCGGTGCTCCCGCTGTCCCCTCTGCCACCCCCTGAGCTGCAGGGCTCTGTCTCCCCTGCAGAGCCCAGGACTCGCTCTCAGGCCGGGAGGGGCAGGGCAGGTTCCGGGGGGCTCTGGCAGACATGCAAGGGGGGCAGGACGAGGGGGCAGCTGTGCCTCCCCCAGCAGTGTGGGGTGGGGGCGTGGGGCGCAGGACCCCCTGCCCAGGGAGGAGGAGCGGGGCTGGGGCACACGGAGGACACGGGGTCACGACACGGCTCAGACGGGGCTGGGGGCGGGACGGGGCCCCCGCCCGCTTCAACGCGAGGAATCCCTCCCTGTGCCAGCCCAGCCCGGGACACGGCCCGGCCCGCCCGGCGGGGGGGAGGGAGGAAGGGCCGCTCCTCCTCTCCCTCAGTCCCGGGCTCGGCCTGGAGCCTGGCGCTGCCTCTGCTCCCGCTGCGGGCCCGGCAGCCGTGCCTGGAATTGCGGCTCCGCTGAGCCGGGCTCACGCGTCCGACAGGCAGCTCTGGATGCGGTCGATCCATTGCTGGGCCAGCTGCACGTCCTGGGCGCAGAAATTGTAAACTCGTTTCGTCGTCTTCAGCTGCGGGCAGAGAGAGGAGGGGCTGAGAACCGCGCCCGGAGCCCGGAGCGAGCAGAGTGACCAGAGCCGGCCCCTCGGGGACACTCACGTCGAAGAAAGCTTTCTCGTCCACCGTCTTGGGGGCCCCCATGGTGGGGGTCCCCGGCGTGATGGACTCCACCTCGGCCAGGTCGATGACCCCCTTGCACTCCGTGTCCATCCGGCTGTCGTAGTACCGCAGCTGCGGGAGAGCCGCGCTCAGGGCGGGGCAGGGACGGAGGGGATGGGGATGGGGGGACAGGACAGACCCCGGGGCCCCACCCGGTACCTGATGTTTGGTTTTATCCAGCACAAACCACCGAGACTTCCAGGGTTTCATGAAGGCGCCTTTCTTGTACAGAGAGCCCTCGTAGGATCTGCGGGGCAGGAAGGGGCCGGAACAGCGGGGTCAGGGATGGGAACCCACCGGGATGGATCCCCCTCCATCCCCGCCGCCATTGCCAGCCCGTTCCCAGCCCCGCCTGCCTGTTCTCGCTCTCGGACGTCTGGAACTGGCTGTAGAGGGTGGAGGTGCTGCGGCGGCCGCCCGGCTTCCCGCTGGACGGGGTGGAGGTGCTGCTGGTGTCGCTGTCCAGGCTGAGGTTGAGCGTGGAGCCCACCCCGCTCTCCTGCAGGTACACGCCCAGCGAGCGCCGGTGGTGCGACAGCCCCGACGACATCAGCAGGGAGCTGGGGGTCTGCGGGACAGGGACAGCGTGAACGGACCGAGGGCTGCGGGACCCCGGGCTGGAGCTGAGAACCAGCACCAGCAGCACCACCATCAGAACCAGCAGCACCATCAGAACCAGAAGCAGCAGCAGCAGCCAGAAGCAGCAGCCTGCCACACCTCTGTCACAGTGCTGTCACAGCCCCCTGCCACACTGTCACACCATCACAGCCTCATCACAGCTACGTCCACACCCTGTTACAGCCCCATCACAGCCCCTGTCACACCTCCTCACACCCTGTGACAGTGCCTGGCACAGCCCTGTCACCCCTGTCACCTACCCTGCTGCCCTCCTGCCGCCCCTCCGTGCGCTGGGACGCTTTCACCTTGTCCCACGTGTCCTTCCAGCGCTCCGGGATCTGCCCCAGCTCCATCTCCAGGTTCTGCAGCTCCTGTGGGGGGAATTTTGGCCTCAGTCTCGGAGGGGACAAAACCCCTGGCTCCTGTCCCTGTGCCGGGGCCCTGCCAGGTGCCATCCCCGCTGCCGACCTCGAGCAGTTTGGAGATGGCGTCGGGCTCCACGCGGCTGCGGTTGTCATAGCAGGGCCAGATGATGCGGCGCTTGCTCTGCGGGGCCGCCGTGTCCTGGCGATCCGGCTCCTCCGGCGGCTCCGGCTGCCCCTGCGCCAGCTCCCAGTCGTACGAGGGGCCCTCGGACAGCGTCTCCTCCGTGTAATAATCCCACACCTTCAGGTTGGAGATGTTGCTGTACGGCCTCAGCACCTGTGGGAGAGGAGGGGGAGGCTCAGGAAGGGCAGCGGGGCCGGGCTGGACATTCCCGGCCAGACCAAAGGACAGAGAGCGCACGTGGAGTGTTGGGAGTGCCCAGCCTGGAGAGGGAAATGCTCCAGGGAGAGCTCCGAGCCCCTGGCAGGGCCTGGAGGGGCTCCAGGAGAGCTGCACAGGGACTGGGGACAAGGAGGGACAGCACACAGGGAATGGCTCCCACTGCCAGAGGGCAGGGCTGGCTGGGATCTGGGGAATTGGGAATTGCTGGCTGGGCTGGAATTGCCAGAGCAGCTGTGGCTGCCCCTGGATCCCTGGCAGTGCCCAAGGCCAGGCTGGACATTGGGACAGTGGGAGGTGTCCCTGCCATGGCAGGGCTGGCACTGGGGGGACTCTGGGGTCCTTTCCCACTGCTCCCACAGGGAGGATCCCGGGGTGCTCCCAGCTCTCACCTCCCCATCCTCAGGTGCGTACAGGTAGTTGAAGAAGATGGGAGCTTTCTTGTTGAGGCGGTCGATGTAATCCCAGATGGACTTGGAGCCCTGCTGGCCCTTCCGCTCGCCCTTCTCCTCGTACAGGAGCCCTGTGGGGACAGAGGGGACACTGGGTGTGACAGGGACAGGCAGGGGCAGGTGCCACCCCCAGCCCTGTGTGCTGCCCTCACCCAGCTCGATGCGCTCGTAGTCCGAGTCCAGCAGGAATGTCCGGAAGCGGTTGGAAATGTAGTGGTAGCTGAGGAACTTCAGGTAGTACTGGCTGAACTCGAACTCCATGGGGAACTGCAGGTGGATCTGTGGGGAGAGCCCCGGGATGGCCGCGATCCAGGGCACGGGCTGGGCTGGCCCAGGGCCACCCCCAGCCCGCGGGGGGCCTGCTGTGGACTCGGGGGTCCCACTGGTCACCTGGGGGTGCCCGGGCCCAGGTCCCGGGGCTCACCTGGTGCACACAGTCCAGGAACTGCAGGAAGATGGGGGCGAAGCCGCTGCTCTGGCCCGCCAGGGTCTGGGCGCCGCGGTGGCTGAAGCGGTGGCCGAAGGACAGCCACTCCTTCTCCACCAGCAGCCGGAACCCCTCCAGCGTCCGGTAGTAGGGGTCGGACAGGAGCTGCACCAGGGACACCACCTGTGGGGACAGGCGGCTCCAGGGGCTGTGGGGGGATGGCCACGGGGCCACCCCGGCCAGGGCCGGGCTCTCACCTGCGTGGTGATGTCCCAGCCGTCCTCCAGACTGACCAGCACGGACGAGCCCGTGTCCAGCAGCTCCACCACCAGCACCGAGATCTGCAGGATCTTGTGGATCTGCCAGGGCAGGGCCAGCAGTGAGGGGGGCGCAGGGAATGCCTGGGCTGGCTGTGGGGACAGTGTCCCCTTCTCTGGAGTGAGGCCACGCTCGGGAGTCACAGGGGCCACCACCCTGGACACTGCAGCAGGGACAGGGGACCCTCAACCCCTCCAGAGTGGGACCCCTCCTACAGCTCCACACTGGACCAGTCCCCCTGGCACCGCCCTGTCCCAGTCCAACACTGGGCTCCTGCCCAGCAGCTCCATCCAGCACCACAGAGCCGAGATCTGCGTTGTCCCACCTTGTCCCCGAGTGTCCCCAGGGTGTCCCAGTGCTGCTCTGCACAGGGCTCTGGAGCCCATCCTCGCTCAGAGCCCCCAGAGGGGCCCAGGGCAGGGGAGGGCAGGCCCTGGCTGGGGGTGTCTGACCTGGGACAGCCACTCGGACTCCTCCAGGGAGCGCAGGTAGTCCCCACAGCCGGGCAGGGGGGGGCAGCCGGGCACGCAGGCCTTCATCAGCTTCTTGAAGCTGGCCTTGACCTGGCGCACGTCGAACACCTCGATGGGCACCACCTCCCAGTGCTGCAGCGGGTCTGGCTTCACACCCTGCGGGGACAGGCCTGGGATGGGCTGGGCCACTGCCACCCTCGGCATCAGGACTGGAAAAACCCTCCCAGACTGTGGAGTCCAACCATTCCCAGCACTGCCAGGGCCACCACTGACCCTGTCCCCAAGTGCCACCTCCACAGGGCTCTGAAATGCCCCCTGGGCACTTCCAATCCCTGCCCACCCTTTCCATGGGGAAATTCCCCAAAACCCACCCTGCCCTCCCCTGGCCCAGCCTCAGGCCGTTCCCTCTCCTCCTGTCCCTGTTCCCACATCCCAAATCCCCCCGGCTCTCCCCTCCTGTCAGGGACTTAAGCAGAGCCACAACGCCCCCCCTGAGCCTCCTTTTCTCCAGGCTCAGCCCCTTCCCAGCTCCCTCAGGGATTCTCCATTCCCTTCCCAGCTCCGTTCCCGAGGTGGCCGTGCCGGCTGTGTCACCTTCAGCTGGGATTTGTCCCCGATGATGTAGAGCGAGGCGCGGTGCTGCCGCAGGAAGGAGGGCTCTGCGGGGCTCCCGTTGTGCTGTGTCCCCAGCAGGTCCTTCCCCGCCAGCCTGGAGCCGATCTCCACGTTCAGGGCGTAGCTGCTCATGCGGCCGCTGGCCCGGATGCTGCCCCACTTCCCTGCGGGATCGGGGCGGGCTCAGGACGGGGCCGGGGCTCGGGGGCTGTGCTGGCCCCATGTCCCCAGCCGGGGGGCAGAGCCGGAGCTGTCCCCACAGCCCGGCCCGGGGGGCACATGCCAGGGAGGTGCTGGGCACCAGGTTTGCTTTGGCTCCTTCTCCCTCTGGGTGCTGCAGCAATTCCTGCCTGCTGGATTCCTACCCTGGCAGCTCCGCGTGTCGTCGCTGGCGCTGGCGCTGTCACAGCCCACTCCAGCGTCACCGAGACCTGCCACCTGCACCACCGCCCTGCCACCTGCGCCACCGCCCTGCCACCCGTGCCACAGCCCTGCCACCAACTGTCCCCGCCCTGGCACCGCAGGGGCCGAGGAGCCCAAAGCAAACCTGGCGAGGCTGCCCGGTACTTACCGTGCCCGTGGCACACCTGGAGCAGGGGGCTGGGGGGTTACTGGGGTTACTGGGCATTAGTGGTGTGGGGGCGGGGGTCAGTGAGTGAGGGGGGTCAGTGGTCAGTGGTCAGTGGTCAGTCACACCCGGCCGTACCTCGGGGCGTCTCGCGGCCCTTCGGCGACGCGCACTTGGGGGAGGACAGGGTGATGACCCTGGCTCTGTGACCCAGCCCTGGGGGCACAGGACGAAAGTGACCTCAGCACAGGACACACACGGAGCCACGGACACGGAATGGGATGGAGGCGATGGAGCCAGGGCTGCGACCGAGCCCTCCCTCCCTCCGCCTGTGGGGAGCACCTGCTCTTCCCTTGAACCACCTGATCTCCCCAGGAACCACCTGCTCTTCCCTTGAACCACCTGATCTCCCCAGGAACCACCTGCTCTTCCCTTGAACCACCTGATCTCCCCAGGAACCAGCTGCTCTTCCCCAGGAACCACCTGCTCTTCCCAGGGCATTACCTGCTCTTCCCAGGGCATCACCTGCTCTTCCTTGGGAATCATCACCTGCTCTTCCCAGGGCATTACCTGCTCTTCCTTGGGAATCATCCCCTGCCCTTCCCAGGGGATCACCTGCTCCCCCCAGGATCCATCTACTCTACGAGAGCTGCCGGGGGCTGGGGGTCTCGGCGAGGCCCCCCAGGCAGCGCCCACGCCCCGTCCTCACCTCCGCGGCTCAAAGTCCCAGGCCCTTCGTCCTTCCCTCCCATCACCTGCTTCATGAGCGATCCCAGCTTAGGCTGCTGCCTCTTGTCGGAGAAATCTGCAGCACCAAGAGAACGTCAGCTCCCGAGGCCCTCCCGGGGCTCCCGAGGCCCTCCCGGGGCTCCCGGAGCCGGGGCAGGGAGGGAGGAAGCGGCAGCAAGCGGAGCCCCGGGAATGGAGCCAAGGTGGGAAGCACCAGCCAGCTGGAGCCACGAAAACCAGTGCCCAGGCAGCCCTGGGATAGGGAGCACCCAGCTGGAGCCA